GTATGTTTTATAGTCACAGTACCCACGTGACAGAGTAAGCATTAAGCCTAACAATATCGGCTATGTGTTCTACACAGCTCGGATTATTGTAGAGCATATGATCAAGATTCTTCTGCGTTTTTTAATGCGTTTAAATCCCCCTTTGCTGCTTACATTTATCCTAAGTGTTCATGTGTACACAACATGCTCATAATAAAGACTTCAGTTGCCCTGCCCTTAGGAGTGTAAAAACATTTAAAAGAATCTAATCACAAAAAATAACTTAAAACATTTGTGCAGGTGGCCCATCTAGGTTGATCACTGGGGTTATTAACTTTAATACTACTATGAAACAAAATGTGCAGACTGTATAAAAAAAAAAAACTAGAGTTTACACCAATGAAAATTTCTGACCTCATAAATATCCAAGAGCACTACAAATGAGTCTCCAGTTCAAACACAAGGATACAACAAGGAAGAACCTTTAAAACACACAACTTTTCCCAGCTAGCTAACTGTTGTATGCTTGGAAAAGAAGCCATTGATTGTAAATCAGCACAAACACTTAAATATAATTCATAAACACACACGATCTTACCTGCCAGTGTTGAGGTGTGTCTGAAGGCTCGGACTTGGGAATCCGATAGTCCGGTGAGAAGGGAGATGACTGTGTCCATCATATACTCATCATAGATGATACTGTATTGACACTGGCGCACTAGCACCGAAATGAATTCACAAAAGCTTGTTTTGAACTTCTTCCACTGGGGCCCGGCTATGGTTAGAGGGTAGTCACCGCTGTCCTGCAAAGTACACAGAGGAACGACAGTCCTTCACTACAATGACTAGTACAAGTGGCAGTTATCTACCACAAATTAGCAAAGTTTATTGTCCTTGGTACGTACATGAATTCTGTATTTGGCATCTGAAATCAAACTTAAGTGATTTATAGCGAATATGGTGTGATTATTAGTCTAATGTGGTAACTTGCCTCATCAAATTCCTCTGTCATCCGTCGGATGATCTCAGAATTCTGCATGTTGCGAAACATTTCTCCAGTAACCACACCTGACAGGAAAAAACACAGAAGAAGAAGGAGAAGATGAAGAATAAAGAGGTTAGACAGAAGACAATTTCCTGAGTGGAAAAGCAGAACTACTGATTCAGATGAGTGGAGGGAGGTTCTGCAGGACAACAAAGACTACATACTTCCTCAATATAGTTTAAAAAACAGCCAATCGTGTAGTATTCGTACTGAAGCTGAGAAACATAAATACCTTTGCATCCTGAGCACTGGATGAAGAAATTGATGAGATCCAACAGTGCAACATCTCTGTCATGTTTGTAAGATTCAATCCAGTCATCAACAACAGACTGCAAGAAGATGGGGACAAGCACAAGTTGTGTATTTTTTTCTCTTACTGAGTAAAAGAAAAGGGAAAAAAGGTGGCAATTTCAAAGGGTTTCCTGTTCATACCTGCATTGCACTCCTTCCCAGCTTCACAACCTCAAACAGCATCATGTTTTCCATGCCATTCTCTTGGTGGTGGCCATTTATACGGCCTGCTCCTTTCCCTCCTTTTCCTTTCTCCCCTGCTGCCTTCTTCCCCTTCTTTCCACCCTGGGAAAGTAGTGAAAAAACAAATATAAATCTGAGAACCACTGCAGAGCGTAAGGAAAGAAAAACAATGTGTGTTACCAATACTTGTGCAATGGTCCATTTGTTGCATCTATACCTTTCCTTTAGCTGAATTTGCACTCCTTCCATCAGGATCCTCAGAGAAGTCTGTGTCTGAGGAGAATCGAGTGTCTGTATCCCTGACAAAAACAAATAACTGCATGAGATATCATATCAACCTTAACCTTAACAATAAATGTAAACTATTAGTAGATACTTACTGAGTATAGGCGAACTCTGATGGTATTTCTGGTGCTATCATTGTTGCAACATCTTCTGGATAACTTTAACTTACGACTGGCTTATAATCCTCACAAAATACAAGGCAGGAGACGTTGCATGTGACCTAGAATATGGAGCAGAATTGTTGTAGAGTGCTACACATGCAGTCTTATTGCACATTTCACCAGCAACACTGAAAACTAAACAAAATAAACACTTTGTGTTTCCAGAAATCACAGCATCTGTAGTGAGCAAATGTTACTTTGATGTCTTTGAAAGAGAGAGTGAGAGAGGAAAAAAGAAAAAAAGGTTTCACATGGTAACAGGGGGCGGACACAAACGCTCCTGTCATGCTCACTGTCCAACCATTGGCTCCCTCCCTTTCTCTGCTCTCCTGGGTTTACAGACAACGTCATACAATCAAGACCGGAGTGTCTTCCTCAATGTCCAAATATGGCACTGCCCTATCCGCCCCATACATATCTCAACCAATCAAATGCCAGTATCAACATCAACAAGATTCTGCAGGCCACAGGGAAACTATTGCATGGTTGTGAAGTGTAAATTAGTGGCACACAGATCAAAGTAGCAAGTAGAAGTAACTTTTCAAATCAGGACTAATACCATGTCCACTCTGAACCAAATGTAATTTTTTCTGTAGCAGTCAGTGAAATCAATAAAAGCCCTACCGAGTAAACGATTCAGTCTGGAAAAGACAAACTCCACCCATTATACACCAGGTTGGGTGCAGTGAGTCCCTCTTTCAGTCCTAGTACACTTAGAGCTAACATACACAACGTTGTCATTCTTCCATTATTAAACCAGACACAATTACTTAGTAAACTTTAAGGCCGACTATCCGATTTAAATCGAAAGTAACGTTAGCAAATTGATTCTTACAATTTCACGCAAAATGAAGGCTCACGCGTGCCAAATTACAGGTTATTACTGTTTACTGTGAATTAAATAGTAAACGTGAAATTGGTTAACATCAGCTAACAACAAAGCAAAGAGTAGTGCTCAATATGATGATGTTTCTATGACTATGTGAGTTTCAGCTTTTCACAGTTAATTCTTGGTTTGAGAGTTTGGTACCGTACCCATTTCCTTGATAGTGAGGGGGATACTGCATGACAAGACGACGGGATTCGTGCAGACAGAAAAAGTGGCGCCAAATCGGGGAGTGTATCTCATAAACTTGTTAATGCGAAACGACAGTAAAGAATGCTATATAACAAAAAACACGCTAATGTGAAACTCAACTGTGTGAATTTTTCAAGGACAACTATACCACCAACTACCGGCTCCGCTCGCCCCAACGCTGCCGACACGGAGCCGCTCTTCGTCGGTTCCTGTCAAAATTGACGCCGGTGCGCTGCTGGTGCTAGCGCGAGTAGCTAAGTAACCGTGGATTTTTGGCGTATTTTCCCCAGCGTCAGCTAGTTGAAATTTGATGAAGTAAGCATGCGCTACTTAGGGAAAACAAACTATGAATAGCCAAATAAGAAGAACGAGAAGCGCATACAATGCAATATCGTCAGATTTTCAGAACATGCCAGCGTTTACCATTGCTATACTAGTTGGACCATAATAACAAAACAACGCAAGCCTTTCTGTACTAGCGTAAGCTAATATTAGCCAGAACACAATAAGGCTAGTCAGCAATGCTGCCGTGTACATTAACTAATTTCTGTCTACGTGTCACTCGTAACCAGTCTTCGTCCGAAGATAAAGTAAATAATAGCAGATAAACTCCAATGGACGAGCTGAAAATAACTCCCACTAGTTAGCAATGCTAAGAGCTACTGCTAACGTTACCTAAAAAAAACATCACGTCCTTGCGTCCTCCATCTTGCCTCGGGAGTTCCAGTACCGTATTGCATAAGCAACAAACACTTTGTTTACAAATATATAAAGTGCAAGTAAGTCGGTTGTGGCAATAAAACGCTTCGGTCTGTTCCGAGCTACGTATTTTGCGCCGCTGTGTAAAAAATCCAGTTCGTTAGCCTGCTAACAACCGAAGTAGCCATGTTCCGCGAGCTAGCGAAGCGACTTGGTTCAGGCAGACATCCGCGCTCTGCGCTCATCTAAAGCTAGCCTGGCTAGCGAGACAGCTAGCAAAATACAAATCAACTAAGTTCCAGATAGCTCTCCGCCATTTTACAGCTAACTTACCTTGTTGTGAAATGTAGTCCCGGTACAATCGTAACTTTTACTACTCGTATACAGCCTCCGTCTGAATTCCGCCACAATTCTGTAAAAAGAGTTTAAAAGTCGCGGTCAGAGGCGGTTTCGGACGTTCTCTCACCCCGCTTGCTCCGTAGTTCGGTTTGTTGTTTCGACGACCTGGGAGGAGGATATCCTGGTGCAGAGCTACCACCTAGCGGCCACAATACTCGCACTGAATGCACGGTTTATAGCCTGACATCTAGTGGTAACTGACGAGAACTGCACGGAAACACTACCGCCTCTGTTTTCCGTGGGCTAGCTTTTCTAGCTATTTGTTTTGTATGTATAAAAGGAGCACACAATACTGACCTAGGATGTTACTATTTGAAGTATCGTAGCAAATCTGTATGGTTCTCGTCTGCAGTTCCCTCCCAGTTCACAGTGACAACTTACACACAAACAAAAACAAACTAAGGAGCTAAGCAACATATAGACAAGGTATTTTGTTTAGCACATCAGATAAGACAGTTCTCCAATTCTGCTGTAAGGGTTAAAACACCCTCCCCTACTGTCCTTTAGGAAGATTGTGGAGATATGTAAAGACGACACCTGGTGGTCCGTCATGAGATACTTAATAAAATACAGATCTAATTCCTACAAGATCATTACTCTATATGAGTAATGATTTTTACCATAATTGAAACTAAAATGCTGCACAAAAATTAAAAATCTGTTTCTAAATCTGATTAATTTGGGTCAGTTCTTGTATATTTTACCATCTGCCATCACTTCAGTTTATAGGCAGTCAAATGCCACATCACTCTTACACTTTCTCAAACCTCATCTGATAGAAATGTGACTTTCTAGTTAACATTGCACAATCAGTGCACCGGGATCATCTCTGCAAATACAACACAAAACATTTTGTTTAGTGATGAAATGAAACTCCAAGTCTGCATAATTATTTATTCACACTTAATTAAAGAAACAATAAAATGATTCTTACATTACAATGGTTAACTCCAAGCCCTAAACTTGAGCTTAGAAATGTAAAGACACAGCAACTGGTTCTATACATAAAACACACAAGTTAAATCCGAATAAATAGGATAAAAGTGGATGAAAATGACAGCAATAACATCCAAGTCAATTTATCTGTGGTAAGTGATGCATTAGAATACATAAACCAAAAGAAAGGCACTTCTGGCAAAATGTGTTTCAAAATAGTGTGTATTTACATCTCAAGGAACTATTTATAAAACCATCTACATCTATACAGATATTTACCATTGTAAGGACTAGGAAAATATAGTTTTACACATTATCATTCTAAGATTTATTAAAGAAAATTGATCCATAAATAATATTATAGGCTCTCTACTTTACAATTACGATATAATTACAATATTATAATGACAGCGTAAAAGCAGCATTGCGTCTGAGCAAGAGTATATTGTTCTCAAGCAATATAGGTCTTGATCTTCTGTGTTATGTCTTGACAGCAGATCGGACACTTGTTGAGGGCCTGTGAACAATTCTCACAAGCAACAAGGTGAGCGCATGGAATGAATACAATGGCAATATCTCTGTCCATGCATATTTTGCACTGTTTTTCCCTCTGCAGCCTCTGTAGTTTCTCCAGTGGGTCCTCATCTGACATAAAATTAAATAAACAGAAGTCAGCACTGCTCAGACTTTGTTTCATGATGTATCTGGGGCACTGAAGTAAAAAAGAAAAATGTACCTTCCATATCTTCTGAAACTGGATTTTGATGACTTGAAGCCTGGAAGCAGAGAAAAACAAAATCCTGTGATTGAGGTCACTGAAGACCGCAAGTCCTTTAATTATGACGCTCCTTTCACACGCTGAAATGGAACACTAAGCTTATTTTAACTAGAGCCCAATCTGGGACTACTGATGATTTTTCTGGTGTAGAAAATTAATATATTCCCAAATATTCATATACACCCATTTATACATATAAAGTGTGGTACATTTCCAAAACAAGTTAGTGATTGTCTGTGAAGAACAATGTGAGCCTTCCTGCTTTGCAATCCATGATGAAAACCTTTCTAAACTAACCTTAAGATTTTCAGCACTGTTCAACTTTCATTTGGGCACATACACCAGACCTCTAGTGTTGATATTGACAGTGCTTTAAGGGAATGTTAATTTGTAGTTTACGCATCCACAACTTGTGGAAAAAGCAAAAACTTACAGCTCTGTCATGTTGTGGTCTTTGTAGCTGGATGCTGTTGACAAATTCTGGCCCTTTGTTTGCCAAAAGGAAGCTGCACCTGTTTTAAAACAGTATATACTTTGATTAAAACAGACGCAAATGCCACAGAACAAAGAAGACAACCTGTGTGTGTATATACATATGTGTAAAAGCATATTAAGAAGACGGGGGTACCATAGTTGTTCTTACCCTGGGTAGTGTTTGGCATGCTCCACCCAAGGGTCTTCCTCAGGCTGCCAATTGTTCAAGCCTCCACTGCAATGGAAACACAGGACTGCGTCTCCTCGTCCTGCAAGGATACAAATTACATTTGATTGCATTCACAGCTACCTACTAGAAAATTTAGATCATACATTTTAAAATGTTGCACAATGTTTCTTTAGCCTCAAACACCTGAACATTACCTGTGCTGTAGAAGCCAGCTCTGGCAAGCCTCTCGTGGTCAATAGGGTGCCGGACACCAGCAAAAGTAGCACGCCTTGCCTCAAAATTCTGCATTAAGGCCGGGTCAATTGCACGCCGATTGTTGCTGGCATCCTCCTCTATACCTGTCTGGATTGGGATGTTCCCGACATCATGCCCAAGGATAAAGTAGCAGTTGGGATAATGCTTGCTGTGCTCACTCCAGGCAGAATCTCCTGGTTCCCACCCATTCAGCCGACCACCACAGCAGAAACACTGAACCTTGTCACTCTGCCCCACGTAAAAGAAGCCGGCTTGGGCCAGATCTCTGGGTCTCACCGGAGTACGGTTGGGCCAAGAAGAGAAGGTCCGAAGTCGGGCTTCTTCATTTCTCATGTGAGGAACTATAGGGTAGGGGGCCTCATCAACCACTTCTCCTGTTCTCAAACGATATTCCACGTCTCCTACTTCTTCACTGATTAGTGCAGTATTGGAATTCTGGTTAAAACTGGTACGGTGGACGCAGGTGAGAAATGTGCATGATGGAGAAAACTGTGAGAATGAGAAAATTAGAATTGGATCAATTTGGAAGAAAACCAAACAGACAAAAAAAAAAAAAAAAGTGAAATATTAACCACTTCCACTTTTTCATGTTACAAGTTTGATTACCTGCTTGTGCTTGTCTACAGGCCTGTCTCCACTGTACCAATTATCCACAGTCATATTACAGCTGAAACAGCGGACACGGTCAGACTCGCCAGTGTAGAAGAAACCAGCCTGTGCCAGTGTTTCCGCAGGCACCTTGTTAGCAAGGTTGGAGCCACGGAATGAGTCTATGCGTCTTGTCAACGAGGAAAAATCGGGCGCATTGTCCGACTCCCAAACACCATCTTGACTGAGATCACACATGATTGAAACAGGAAGCTGTAGGGATTTGTTAACTTGATGGACAGATGATCTGCAAATAGAAAGAAACAGGATATGTTTGAAAAAAAAAAATGGTACAGTCTCCTCATTTGCTTGTTTGTTTGTAAACAGACTCTTCAGTGGTTAAATTCCTGCATTTCCATGTCTGGCGCCAGAGAGCCAAATGGCACATCTGCAGGGTCTCTGTACCTTTAAGAGAATGCCAGCCTGTTATCACATGCAGGAACTGAATGTTCCATGTGAGGGATGGGCACTGGAGAGGCAGGTTTGTCTACAGGCACATTGCATATTACACCACATAAAAGGGTTATACTGCTCGAAGATACAATGCAGCAGAGATCTCAAACAAAAGGCCCAGGAGCCAGAATCAGGCGTTTCGGTTCGCTGTACAGCTTTGGAAAATGTGAACGAAGGAATGTATTTTGGGCTTTTGACTGTAGTTTTACTGCTTTTCCTATTGACAGAGACCTCCCCGTTCATAACACACCAAAGTAATTAAGTAATACATAAACAATAAAATGACAGAATAGTTCCTGTTTTATCTGTCTACAATAATAATAATGTCTGTTTTTTCTTTTCAAAAAGGTAATGTGTAATGTAATGTGTTAGTCCCCATAGGGAAATAGTTCCTCTGCATTTAACCCATTCACCCAGTGAAGCAGTGGGCAGCCACCAGTGCAGCGCCCGGGGAGCAGTGTGTAGGGACGGTACCTTGCTCAGGGGTACCTCAGGGTAGCCGTTCAGTGGAGTCGAACCCCCGACCTTCCGATCATGGCGCCACCACTCTACCTACTGAGTTATCCCTGCCCTTTTACTCTGCCCAGAGTTTTGTTTTGTTTTTTGTTTGTTTTTTAAAGGGAGGAGGCGAGCATTTTCTGTGAATTAACAGAAACTTTCTCTTTTACAATTACAGCACAGTCTGAGAAATGAGCTGCCAGAACTTCTGAAAGTTTATGCATTTATTTCTTACAATTTAACCCTGGAGAGCTATGCTGACAGGTTTCTTTGATCTACTGCAGCAGTGTTTCTATGGCCTGAAGAAAATCTGAGAAGTACTGTTGAAATCACCCTTCTTTGATACCTCAAGGATGAGATTTTGCAGATAAACTTCTTAACGCTGAGAGTAAGGGTAGTTTCACTGGGCTTGAGGTCTAAAGTGAGCTTGTATGTGGCCTTAGAAGAAAAATGAGTTTGACATCCTGGCAATGCAGAATATGAGGAAAGAGAGCAATAATAACCCAAGGCGTGAAACTATGATTTCAGAATCTTTACATTCCTCAGCGTCATAGTTTGACGCAAAATGGACTTATCGTCCAACGACAGCACACAGTCACCGATTGTGTGCTGGGTCAGATGTTTAAACAGCTGTTTATCAGCTGATACGTTGCCGTATTGATGGGATGCGATCTTTGAACTGTCTTTAGGTGTCTGCATTATTTCAAGTAAATCAATCGCCAGCGTCATCCCTTTATTTTTTTTAACTTGAGCCAAGACTGCATCGTCCCACGCATTAAAATGCTCACTTTTTGACTGACTCGTAACTGCGAACGACATCTAACCGAAAGTAAAACCAGCGACAGGGGAGTTTTCCCACTAGCAGTTCCACGTGTTTCTTTTAACATTTATTAATGATCAGAGTGGAGAGGATATAACCCCAGCAAATTCCAGAAAGGCCCCACAGCTTTGCTTCAGTTGAACACGACACAGAAGCCGTACTGTTTCTGGGAAACGCCGAGAACAACAGCGCCGATGACAGCAACTGACAGCCAAGACCTCGCTAAACCCACACCGTGTTTTCGTTCAGTTAGAAATTAGTCAATACAGTTACCTAAAAGTGCTTTTATATGTAAAATGTAAACACCCAAAGCGACAATCTTGGACTCTGACCTGTGCTTTGGATCTGTACTGCTAGGATCGTAAGCGGAATCGCGAATGCTAGCTTCAGAGTGCTTGGTAGCTACATTAGCTTAGCCTTTTTACCCAACGCTAGCTAGGTCACACAGTGACTTATCGAATATAATAACGAAATTTTAAATGTTTACCTTTCAACACAGCTCCTCTGTTTCCTCCAGATAGTGTAGAGTGCGTACACCTCGGAAAAGAGACTCCGGTGAAGTCTTTTGTGACCTCCCTGTCAGGAAGTGAAAACTGCCTTATCAGGTGACGTCAGGAAAGGGTTGTGCCGTGGTGGTTTTTCGTGTTTGGCCAGATCTCTTGGAAAAAGAAATTTTTGATATTAATAATTTTTTTAAACCTGGATTACTTGTGTAAGAGTCAAATTGCATTAAAATGCTTCTACGTTCTGATCAGAATGGGGGGGGGTTCGCTCAAAATGGCTTAGTATCGTCCAGGAGAGCTATGTTTATAAGCCAACAAGCTACATTTGTAGTCCGTTTTCTGATTTAGTTGCATTTCAGCTGTCAGCTACGCCGTTTAATTTAAATGTATCTCCTATCGAATCCGCCAGTCACAGAGCAGCAAGCCAATGCACTTAGGAAAATGGCAGAAATGGTAAAAACGACCTCAAACTGAGCATCAGAATGGGGAAGAAAGGTGATTTAAACACGGTTGCTGGTGCAAGATGGGCAAATCTGATAATAAACTGCTAATCTACTGGGATTTTCCTGCAATACTAGTATTTAATAATTAAATTAAAAAAATAAAAAAACTATTCAGTGAATGCCAGTTGCAAGGTATGAAGAAGCGCATAATGTGGTGTGAACACCACACCTTGGTATGTTGTTCTTTGCATTTTATTAAACACACAATAAACATTGAGGTAGATGAGACTCAGCAGTAGACTACACCCGATGGCATTCCTGTGAGCTGAGAACATGTTTGTTTTCAGTTTTATTTGTCATATGCAAGTTAGCACATGGTCAACATTGTAATGAAATGTGTTTGACGAGCAGCAGTCACTCAGCAGCATGATACAGTAGAAGAAAATATAATAAAATAAAATAAAGTAATAAAAAATAGTAAGGATCAAAATATTAGAGAGATGTGGTAAAAGAGAAAGATGACTAAATATATGTATCTATAAATATAAATATATGTACACTAATGATTAAATAAGAAAATCTTGAAAAGAAATATGACGGGAGGGCAGATGGGATGTTGCACAGGAATGAGCAGCAGAAAATTACAGTATTGCACTTTTAAATATAAATAGCAATAACAATAACGTGGAGTGACCAGTGCAGATTAAACAGAGTACTTGTGAAGCTGCAGGTAGCTTCTGAGTGCGTCCTGTGGACTGTGTTGTGTGTGTTTAAGTGTTGTGGTTGAGGTGTCGTATGGCTTGGTGGTAAAAACTGTTTTTGAGTCTTGTAGTCCGAGCAGACAGACTCCTGTAACGTCTGCCAGATGGTAACGAGGAGAACAGCTGATGTGCTGGGTGGCTGTGGTCCTTGATGATGCTGTGTGCTTTACGGAGGCATCGCTGGAGATAAATGTCCTGCATGGCAGGAAGCCTCGTGCCAGTGATGTGCTCTGCTGCCTTCACCACCCTCTGTAGTGATTTACGGCTGCTGGCAGAGCAGCTTCCGTACCAAACTGTGATGCAGCTCGTCAGCAAGCTCTCAATTGCACACCTGTAAAAATTTGAGGTGATATTGGCGTTCATGCCAAACTTCCTCAGCCTCCTCAGGAAATAAAGCTGCTGGCGAGCTTTCCTGATAGCAGTGTCTGTGTGAAGGGTCCAGGAGAAGTCCTCTGTGATGTTGACTCCAAGGAACTTGAAGCTACTGACCCTTTCGACCTTGATACCGTTGATGTGGCTGGGCTGGTGTTCTCTGACTGGTTGTAGTCCACTATCATCTCTCTAGTTTTGCTGATGTTGAGAGTCAGGTTATTTTCCAGACACCACTCGTACAGCGCCATCACCTCCTCTCTATAGGCCGTCTCATCATTGCCTGTGATGAGGCCTATGATGGTTGTGTCTTCCGCAAACTTGATGATGATGTTGGACTCGTGTTTAGCAACACAGTCGTGTGTGAACAGGGAATATAGGAGGGGGCTAAGCACACAACCCTGTGGCGTACCTGTGTTTAGGATGAGTGGTGAGGTGTGCTTACCAACTCTCACCACCTGGGGCCTGTTTGTGAGGAAGTTTAGAATCCATCTGCAGATTGGTGTTTCCAGCCCAAGGTCGACGAGCTTCGTGGCAAGTTTTGAGGGGATGATGGTGTTAAATGCCGAGCTGTAGTTGATGAAGAGCATCCTTGCATATGTATTCCTTTCTCCAGGTGAGTGAGGGTGGTGTGCGTTGCCAGGGCGATGGCATCCTCTGTGGCTCTGTTTGTCCGATAGGCAAACTGAAGAGGGTCCAGTGTGTCAGGGAGGGAGGAGCAGATGTGACCTTTGACCAGCCGCTCCAGGCACTTCATGATGACGGATGTCAGTGAACAGGACGGTAGTCATTCAGACAGGAGACCACTGATTTTTTGGGAACGGGAATGATGGTGGATGCTTTGAGGGACGTGGGGACCACTGACTGCCTCAGGGAGAGGTTGAAGATGTTGGTGAACACCCCTGCCAGCTGATCGGCACACACTCTGAGAAGCCGGCCTGGGATGCCGTCTGGTCCTGGAGCTTTGTGAGGATTGACCTTTTTAAAGGTCCATCTCACAGCTTCTGTTTCCAGAGTTAAAGTACTGTACATTTGGATCCAAATTGTACATTTGGATTAAACAACATGAAGTCGTGGATCCAGCCTGGTTTTTATCAGTGGTTCAAGCACTGCTGATGGTGCTGAAATGGTTACTCTTGGCCTCTTAATACCAAAGGAACATCATTTAAATGTCACAGCATACTTGAGTGCTGTTGCTCACCTTGGCCATACTTTAAATACCTAAAAACTATTCATTTATTTTTAGGCAATTTGAAGCTTCCTCAATTTATAGGCTGGCCAGATCCCAGCAAACTCAATGTGGTAGAACATTGGACCCATTCCTAACACTGCGAATCTTTTAGCATGTGCTAAAACTTGATATTTTTGTTAAGTGACAGTCTTTTCACTTTCATGTATTCTTCCTTTTTGTCTCAGGATCCTTTAAAACTATTATTTACTGTTCTTTCCGTTTTCTCCAGCAATCATTTGGCTTCCATCAACTTATCCATTTGTTTTTTGAGCTGAGTTACAAGTGAGAGTTGCCTTCCCAGCAGTTTCATGCTTATTCTAGCTTTATTTTCCTTTGTGGTAGTTTCAGTCATGTTCCACAAAAACCTGCTTTGCTTGTGGGGGAAATTTTCCACTTCAGTGTCGACAGCTAATGACCTATGAAGACACCCTTTGCTGCTTCCTTCACAGCCATTGAGTAAAAGGCAGACTATAGAAAAGAAGGCTGAAAACTTCCGCTAATAAAATGTGGGCCATAATCTCAACATGTGGAACAGGGAACAAGAAACAAACGCTTTGCAGCACTACGTCAATAGGGAAAACCTGGCCACTTCTGTTTTCCACTCACTGTTCCTTGTATTGGCAGTATTATAAATAACATATAACATATATTGCATGACTACTGCAGGATTTAAATAGCTGTTGTGCTGGGAAGTTGTCAGGTTGACATGCTACATTCAAAGGTACGCATTATTTAAGATTTAGCTTAAAAACAATGAAGCTGCACAACTTTTTATTTGTTATTCAGTTAATCTGAAATCTGAGAAGTCCAAAAATGGTTTGCTTAGGATTCTTAATGTCCAGGGTTTTGGGGTGTGGTCAGATAAAGCTCTGTTGCACTGTTGCCACACCTATATGTCACCATCACCAGGTGAGAGGTTAATACTGTTGCAGGTAGGCAACAATATTTTCAGTTAGTCTTTAAGGAACCTGGGTATAAGCTAATAATAAAAAGAACAAAAATGTAGGAAACATTCACAATATTTTGTGCAATAATAGCTTAAATTACTAAAGGCAGCAGTACGTCATTCATGAACAACACATTTATTAACAGGTTGAACTTCATGTTTTACATTACAATTCAAATTTAATAGAAAATAGCCTGTGGGGTTTGAAAACCTGTGCTCAGACAACAAATAAGATCTGTGCAGTCTCAAAGCACCATCTGAGTCCATCATCTCATCTTCCACACGGACCGCTTAAGGAGGACTGAGCGGGATGGGAAATCTTAGAATGTAACTTGGCGGTTGGTGGTGGGGATTTGAGCTGGAACAAGACGCGTCGGTCAGACAAAGCATCATCCCTCCACGATCCGACGGAGTATGTTCCCAAGACTGCCCTTTGCTATCTGGAGCGGGGTCTTCTCCTCCTTGTTCTCAATGTAAATGCTCGCTCCATGTTCCACCAGCAACTTGGCTGCTTCAACACGCTCCTCATCGCATGCAAGATGGCTGGGAGAAGAAAAAAATAAAAATCAATGCATAACTATAAATACAGAAATGCCTCCCCCCCCCAATGCTAATCACACTGTATAGCTAATGTAATGTGGATGATTACTTCTAGTGCTGCTAGGATAAGTAAGAAAACATTTTATTTTTAGGTATAATTAGAGTTCATCTTTGTATTCGTATTGCATGATGTTAAAAAAAAAATGCATTTGACATATATGTAATCATACAGAGGTGTGTTGCCCTGTGAGTCCTGAATATTTGTTGATGCACTCTGTTTGAGAAGCAGCTGAATGAGCCGGTAGTTGCCCTTGGCAGATGCTCTGTGAAGAGGCGTAGAGTCCAGCTTGTCAGTAGCATTGGGGTCTGCTCCATTTTCCAACAGCAGCAGGGCAATCTGCAAAGAGGTAACCATGTTTCATTCACAAGCTGAAAACCACACTTTTACATCCAGTTATTTCTAGTTTCTATGAAATACCCGTTTTCAGATCTCGTCATTTTGGTTACCACAGTCATGTGGAAGTTTCACGTTAGGAAGTGAGACTGAAAGTTAGGACAATCCTGACTGGGAAAAGAAACCTGTGGTTGAAATAAAATCCTGTAAATGTACAATGAAATCCATTCATGTCATGTCCAAGTCCTTGTGAGAGAAGACGATGAAAAACTTCAGTTTCATGATCTTTTATATGCACATTTGATTTAACAAAAAAAATGCATCTTGATTGTTGCAGTGTGTTGGACCCCGTTTCCCACCACCTCAAGTCTCCCATATATACATAGGTCTTTATTAAATCTTTGTAATCTTAGCAATGATATAGGTACTGCAGCATACATGCTACAACAATGCCACGATTTTTGAGATAGCTATGTCCTTTTATTGTTATATTATTATCAGTTATATTGAATAAAACATTCTTGTCATCTTAAAAATAAAGCTGCAGATAGTGATTTTTTTTTTGTTTTTGTTTTTTTTTGTTTTTAAATAAAGCTGACAAATCATCTTTTCTTATATCCAAGGGATCCTTCTCAGAGAGCAAGACGGGATGTATTGATGTATTAGTGATGATGGTTCAGAACAAATAAGAAATGTTCAGTAAAACCTTCTAATACTCCAGATAAAAACAAATACGGAAATAAAACTTCATTACATGTCCAGAGGAAAGGTTAGAGTCTAACTGAAAACTGTACAGCAAGCAGTGAACACAGCGGGAACACATTACAAGCACGTGTTGACGGTATCTTTGTAATACCTCTATGTGCCACAAGGGGGAGACAAATATTCAGCACAACAAGTTTATTGTTAAAGAAAAGCTGTTTTGTTTTGCACATTTGAGAAGTATAAGCAACCTATAATTATATTTTACTTATTCCTACAGGGTTTCCTTAAAAGTACTAAAGCTCATATCTACAAGTTTCATTCTAAAGAGAAAACTTTATGCTGATCTAAGAAAAGACGAAAAGGCACAATCGAATCCTGGTACCCTGGATGAGAACATGTTTCAAAAATTTAATAACCTGTTGCGTGTACAGGGCGTGACTTATAGGTGACAGAGAGTGGTTACTCATAAGCCAAGCCCTGTGTGTATAGGGCGCAGCGATAATAAAGGGGTGGTAACACAGGGGTAATAAGAAAAAAAAAAGATAACAAGAAACAGCAAGACGGTTGTGGGTGTAGGTGATGGGATTACTGTTTATCTTGATGTGAGGAAAGTAAAAGCAGCAGACAAAGGTACATTAGTCATACTATACGGGAGAGAAAGAAAAAAAATGTAATGAAAATTATCCTAATAAGAAGAGGAGGGCTTTTAGACATTCCAGCAAAGGCAAGCCACAGAATAAAGGTGTGCTGTAGGGTCCAACACCTGCCTCCCCCATGGATGCCCCAGTCTCAAGCTGGCCTACTGCCATGCTTACTCTATTGAAGTGCATTTATCCCCCTTTCCTGTGTTCTGTTGCACTTTCTACATTTGTGTGTGAAGCACCAGTAGAGCTTGTGTCGAGAACAAGAAACCCACCGGTGTAACCCACCATTCAGCACCCCACCTGTAGCATATTACATGGCCCACCTGCAGGAAGCGAGGGCAAAATTTGAAAAAATAAATAAATAAATAACAGCAACAGATAAACAATTAATTTGAATTAATATGCAATCATTCCTAATGATTATTACTATATTAAGAGCCAGTGTTATTGTACTAATGTCGGGTAAACTGGGCCCTGAAAAGTCCTACTTTGCATAATTATCTTTTTTCAAAATGCTTAGGACGCATTAGCTCAGATCACATGGCCATAGCTGACTGAAGTCTTGGTGTGTTTCACTTCAGCTTTCAGGGGCTTACCCACTGTGTCTAAGTGTAGAACAAAAACTGATGACATCGCAAACTATGGAAATACCAGCGGGCACCAGTTCTACCCCTTTATGCCTACAGTATAAATCTGAAAATGCCCTATCAGGCTTTTAAGGTTGTGGGTAAAAAAGCTTAAGAGTCATCTGCAGCACCAGGAGTGGCAACAGCAACCACAGCCAGGTTTAGTGTCACCCACAGTATTCACAGTGTAATTACTGATGGCACTGTAGAAGTAAAAAAAATACATACCTCACTGATGCATTTGTTCTAAGAGCACATGATGCACTAATGTATTTGGAGCGATGATGTGCTGTTTATTCAAATGTTTACATCTTGGAAAAAAGTAAAAAGAACAAAACAAAATATACCAATATATACCCACAAGAAGTGTACTGTTTAATTGTAGTTTTTCCAAGGCTGAGGAGGTAATTTGTATTAAAAATAAATAAAAATAAATAACTAAATGCAGAGTCTTTAATATATTAACACGTGTGTACATGCGTGAGACATGCTTCATCAGTCTCAAAGTTTTTCTGGCTTTGGTCAATGAGGATTTCTCCAAATCATGCGCTGGTCATACTTATTGTTAGCCTGGTATAACTTATAGCTTTATTTAGAACTGTGCAAAACACGTTTGTTGTGTGTTCACAGAGTAGACATCATCAAGACATGACAATAGTAAAAGTGGCCAGTGGGTGTCACTGTGGAAATTGTTTTGAAACCTCAGTACAATCCTGGCACAGCTGCTTCAAATGTTTCACTACTTCACACAGCTGTGCTTTGCCCATCACTAGAAGACACTCACAGCTGTACTTCTCCCCTGAGCTACACCACTGACAACAATTTTAACCAAAAGTTTCACATTTAAATTCAGCACTCCATCAGATGTGTTGCCACCGATTTCAGTCCAGTTCTTGTGTAATTTGTCATACTTGAGCCTTTTTGTCCCTATTTTCCTTCCTTAAGAATGGCTTCTTGATAGCCAACCTTCAGCTGAGACCATTTCTGAGGCTTCAGTGAACAGCAGATGGGTCAACAGAAGTGCGAGATGCATCTTCTCAGGTTCTATGTCAGGTCTTTCCTTGATTTTTCCTATTTTTTGAGAAAATGACTTAAATATATTGTTGCATTTGTTGTAGATTGCCTGCCACTTCTTTTGTCGTCCACTTGTCCACTTTCATTTAAAGGACATACTGCACACCGTGGTGAGGTTTGCCATGTTTTTGGCGTACAAGACATTTTATGCCTCTTAATCTTTTTTTTTTATTTTTATTTTTTTTTTTATCTCTGGCATTATTGTAGATTTAACTAAAGAAATGGGAATGAATTGTGTTTTCATGACAAGCTGCTAGTAACAAAGTGCCTAAAGATACTATTTAAAATTGGTTCTTTGCTAATTCGTCTGTTATGTGCAGCCAACACTGGCTCATTCCTTGAGTTAGGTGTCTTTTTTTGTTTGTTTGAATGATTCATAGGTTAGTGTTATGTGGTTTATGTGGAAAAAATACTTCTCTGAAATTTGTGAGGTATAAGAACTGGACCGAAGATAAGTGGAAAAAGCAGACAAATGTCCAAACTCTTTTGCACAACACTATATAATTAATTATGTGCAGAAACAAAGCACCACTGAACTAAACGGGGAGATAACACAACTGTATTAACTGACTGCAGAAGTATGGAGGACTAATACTGCAACCTGTGGATGTTACCTCATATCTGTCTTTGGAGGCGGCGTAGTGCAGAGGGGTGCATCCATTTTGATTAACTGAGTTGAGCTGAGCTCCTTTGGATATCAGAGATCTCACGATGTCTTCTCTGCCTGCAGATGCTGCAATGTGCAAAGGGGTCCACGAAGCCTGAGAGCGAAAAACAAAACACAGACATCAGTGGCATCATTCTGAAACAATGTGTTCATCAGTATATCTCTTGTATTAATGGTCACATGGCACCTTATAGGGAAAAGTCTACAGAAGGAAAGAATTAATGTACCCACAAATAAACTTACATCATCTTGCAGGTTCACTTCAACTCCCATGTCAAGAAGAAACTCCACAATATCGGTGTGTCCAGCAGAACAAGCCCAGTGCAGCGCGGTTCTCCGGTCCTGAAATCACAGAAAGTTGTGTTGCTTTAAAAAGAAAATTATTATTCCGATTTCCTGTAGGGAAAAACGAATTCCCGCAGGCTGTACTGGTGGGTCATGTGTTCTTACCTGGTCTGTTTTGCAGGCAAGCGTTTTATCTGACAGGATGCACTGTTTTAATTTCTCAAACTGCCCCGTGTAAGCAAAATTACACACCTCCACATTGGACACAGACCCCTCCATTCTTAAAATATAGCTAAATGTCCAAATAAATATATTAAAGCTTACTGAGGATACTCTTTAGTTATTTCGTTTAATAAGCCACAGAAGCAATGACTCAGGAAATTATGAGTTCTCTTTCCGCGCTGGTCGACCTTTTCTTTTCAAACTAAAACTCCATCACCAAAATGGTACTGACTTTGCCACGCCACTTCCGCGTTATTATCCACACAGTCAACATTTACTACCACTATTGTATTCTTAAAATGTAAAAAACACGACATGAAAGTGGAACTCGGAAGAGAGAAGCTTAAATGAGTCTGAAAGATTGTACTGACATCTTATTTTGGTAGGCAGAGTTGGTGACCCGAGGAAGTAATACCCAGTGTGATAGAAATGTGTTGGTTGCTAAAGGAATAACAAGAGAAGAAAAGAAGTCTGAATTGTGAAGTTTTCTCGGTCTTTTTGTAATCTTTTTGTTTTGAGTTGTTTCCAATAATTTATCCGTTCATATGGCAACCACCCTGGTAAGCTTTTCCATGCCGTTTCCAAAAAAACACACGTTAAATCACCGTGTCCAGCTTTGAGTAATACGTAGTTATCTCTTCAGGATTTCAGGACTCATGCCGACCAGTCATGCAGATATTCAGAAGAATTTGTCAACATTTATTACGACTGTATGGATAAGAAGAGGCGGGTGAGTTTTGTTTCTGTAATTTAACTTAAATTAATTTGTAAGACCAAACTACATACGGTGGCCCGAAAGTGCCGTTGTTCCAGATCTACTGGCGTTTAGATCAACTGGCGTTGGTCGAACAGATGTGTGGCAGTCTTGTGTTTCAGGAGCTCCTACCGACAAACCAGCAAAAAAACGCCAAATGTGTCACCTGTGACACTTGTGAGGTTGTCTCAAACACACTCCGTCAGTCTTGATGCTGTTGAACAACAAAATGTTTAAAAATGTGGCGAGTTTACCTGGTGATATCCTCATGCGCAACGCGATCGCGAAAACAGCAAACAATTAACACCACGCCGATGTTGTTCACGGGACAGCAAGAGTAAACGATCGGGAGACTCTTGTCGTCGTTATCGTTCCCCTCGCACGGTTTATTTCTCCGGTTTCAGCGTTTTTGCTTCACAACTAAAGCGAGCAGTTTACTTTGTGCACTAACATGGACTCGAGTCAACAAGCGCCACCTCTGGCCAAGTGCCACAGCCTACAGCCAGATCAACCTGTGACACACATCTGCAGCACGTTTGAATTCGTTTCATGCACAACACATGAAACCTTTCAATTGTGTCTGTTTGTGCGTCATGCAAATAAACCTTTGAAATGAATGAAATGATATCATGTATTTATTATCAGCCTACATTTGTACAAAATGCCAAATGACATACACATAGTCATAAGAATCATCAACCTGATATCAATACTTTTGCCCATAAGAATGTCGTTTGTCGTGAACAAATATATGACACACTAATATTTCACCAGTGTTGTAACATCACATGTCGTTAGCATAGTCTGCCTGTGTCTTTCCTCTGCAAACGAACATTTCAGAGTTGGTTGTGATATACAGTCTGCATAAGTGTGGTTAATCTAATAAACATTTGTAAGGAGATGGCAGTTACTGTGAATGTACAGCAGTTACACAGTGATTAGTAATAAACAGTCAGACAATGACTCTGACAATCTCATTTAATCTTGCAGATTGAATGCACCTTTTGTGGAAAGTGGTACCACACGGTGTGTGTAGACTTCCCCTGTGCAGAAGGCGACTACAAATGTTGTGGGTGCTAAATAAACAGAAAAAATTGATCCCTGTTGTCTTTGCTTACTGATTGTTTTCAGTGTTGACAATCCGCATTGCTGGCATTGCATCTTTCAACATGTTTGTGGGTAGATTTGGATGTACCAGGGGTAAGTGCAGCCACTCAGCCTCTACTCAATGTGATCATAGCAGCAGGTGCAGATGTGTCACAAGTTAATCTAGTAGTAGGCTATGGTAGTAGTGGACTGACTAGTGATGGGCAGATGAAGCTTCATGAAGCACTGAAGCTTTTCATCCAATTGGTTCA